TAAGCCAAGAGAAGTCCAAGAGAAGAAGTCCACGACAGACAGCAGATGGATACTGTTTATTGGTTCTTTCCATCACATCTGAGTTACAGGTGTAAAAGTCACACAAACTGCAGGTATAAACATGTAAAACAATACAAAAATATATGGAAAGGTAATTTTATATTTACTGAATCAAGTTGTGTAATAAATACAATAGGCTAAAAGCTTCAATCACACAATTCAGTTTAACTGAAGTTACAGTAGTGTTTGTAAATGCAAGTTTTTAACTTAAAGTTGCAAATATTAAAGCACGGAGAACTAGTATAAAAGTGAATTTTGGCACATTGTAAAGTGAGAAGTGTTACATTAGTATCTGACTGCTGTGTAAAAATGAAGCAGTTTCTCACTAGCTTTGAGGTACGTTTTTAAACAATCTAAAATTAGATCAACAATGCGGTTCTAAGCACTCACAGTTTACAATTCACTATACTAGTTGCAATTTTTCCCTTTTAAGAATACCAAAGTATTCCAGAGTTTAAATCTGTGCAAATTCGGAAAAGTTTCAATTAAAAATAGTAATTAAAAAAACTTATTAGGGAACTTTTACATGCAACTTAAATCCTCCCTGCAATCATTTTTGTTAATTACAAAGTGTAAAATTGGGCTAATACCAAATTGCACGGCTTAATATAAAATACTCCAAGATTGCAGTGCAGTTCCAGTTGCAAATGTTCCTCTCATAAGTTTATCACATTTTTCTCCCTATAACTTCAGTAACTTCTGATCACACTCATTCTCGGTGAGGGGGAAAAAAAAAAAACACACCACCACAAGCTGCTAACATGAAGGTCAGCAAAGCATGTAAACCCCTTGAGGACTCTCAGCACTTCTTCACAATATCAGAAATGCCTGGACACAAAGTTACTGTTACCAATTTTCAAAATACAGTAAAAGATAAAAGGAACAGTGTAATGGCACTTTTTCTGTATCCAAACATTTGTGTTTTGAAATGGTGCTTTTTTTTTTTTTTTTTAGTTTTTACAGTAGCTAAAAAAATTTTCAAAACTAGATCCTTATTAGTATCTCAGTCCTCACCTCAACTTCAAAAGAGTGAGGAAACCAGATTACCCTACAGATGGGGTTCGATACAGTATAAACATCTCTGACCAGAGTACAAAAGTTACACTCTTCTAAAAAAAAAAGTGCTGCTGATTGTTAGAAGTAACTCCAAAATAATCAGCAACTGCTATTAAACTATCAGCAGCATCAGGCATTTACACATTTTAGTCCTCAAAGAGTTTTCTTTTAAACAGTTTAACCATTTGTGCTAATATTCTTCACTAGGTTAAAATTTAAGTCCTTTCACCAAAACCGTTTTTCCTTTAAAAAAAAGAGGGTGCAAGCAATACAACCCATGACCTCCATTTATTTTACGCTTCATGAATAAATGGTGTCATCTGCAAGGCACTACTATGTTTAAAGGATACCATTGTCACAGTTTCACTATTTCGGTATTTTTTTTGTGTGTTTTAAAGTCACAGTTCAAAACTTAAAAAAAAAAAATAAATTGAGGTAATCAAATTATTTCAATACCAAAATATATTAATTGAAATAGTACCAGTATGGTGAAAGGTCTTCATAATACACAGCTATTACCATATAGCATGCAGTACAGTATATAGGTATACTAGGCCTTTGTTCTGAGCTCTTCTGCTTCAGTTTTTAAGGAACAGCTCAATTTGCACAGCAGCACACCAATTTTAAATACTTATTTCCTCTTTGTTCACAGGGCTTCTCACTTGTAATTACAACTTGCTGCGCCAACCTCAGATGAATTAGCCCCACCAACATTTATTTTCGAGAGCCGCACAAATTGGGGTTCTTAAAAAGAGTTCAGCCGAGCCAAATAAGCTACAGTATCTTCATCTATCGTTCAATCAATTGCACTTAAATCTACTCTCTTATTGATTTACACGTTGAGACAAAGCATCAACGACGTGCCTGCTGTCCCAACCACTGGTATTTCTTCCAACATTACATAGTCATACCACTATTCTAGAAATATGGCTTTGCAGATTAGGTAACTTGTACTGAAAAGGAGCACACTGGGTTTACACTAAGTTTATTGGCAAAGAACTACGATTTGTTAAGAATTTTCTAATGCCCCTTTTTATTGCAGTGTTACGACCAGAATTTTGTACTCTAATAATCCTGGTCTGATAAATAGTTTCATGCAACCAACTGTACTTAGTTTGTAAACACCCGCTAGCCCCCCAAATCCACTGCTAGCTACGTTTACTCTACCAGGCACTACAGGATATTAAGACTAAAGTATAGCCATGCATAGATAAACTCACGAGCCTTATCATGATGCTCTATACCTGTAATACGGGTTACCCCAGAAAGCCTAGAAACACAAACTAATCACTGGCTTTTACTGTACTTTAACAGGATACAAGTAGTTTATAAAGTCCCGTGGTGTGCAAAAAAATTCTTAAAATTCAGACAGCTTTTTAAATCTACTAGGAAAGCTAGTAACGAAACCTTATCAACATCTCTCGCCCAATCTGCAGCACCTGGAATTCCACCTCTGCACTGTAAAACCACCAGCAGCACAGGCACCGAGCCAGCTAGTAGCAACGTGTACTGAAAGTCCACCTAAAAGGTGTTTCGGTTTTTGACAGGCTTATTGAAATTTCAGCTAATTTCAGATTCCAAAAGGTAAAAAATATAGTCCTTAAGTAGGGCGGAAAACTGTATGTAGCCTTAAGTTTGATGGCAGGAGTTAAATCTCATTTTCCTGCCACAGAAAGAGACTGCGTGGACACGTTATAAGCATTTTAAATGTCCTGTAAGAAATTACTCATTCCATTTCTTACTGCGTTACATACATCTGACCAAAAAGAAAAGCTGCAGTTGTATTAAAAGACTGAGCTGTTCCTAAAGCTAAGGAATATGAAAATAAAAAAATTCCTCCTGGACTGCTTTCACTTGACTCAATTCTGAACACACAGCATGCTACAATAATCTGCTTATTCAAAGAGGCCTCAATAATTACCTTTAAGTAGCTGCTAGGGTACCTTATAATCCTTCAGTCAGTGATCTATGAAGTCTCACTTAAATTGTATTACATTAAGTTAAGGGACAAGTTGCCAGAATTTCTATTACAGTATCATTTAGTAACTCCAAAAATTTTGTTGCAAGTACTTAAAACCTGGTGTATCAGTTTAGTGAAATGTTACAGTGTGCAAATACTTCTGAAAGCTTCACAAACAAGTTCTTTCATATTTCAAGTATATCCTTCCGATATTTTTTACCTTTGGAAATAAGCAGTTTTCATGAAAAGGAATTCTTCAGCTAAAGAATCTTCCTCCTCTCTTGCTTTGCTTAGTTTTTAGTACTGAAATAAGAAATGCTTCAGAGATAATCTTTTAAGCAACAGCAAGTTGCCACCATTCATGTCACGTATTTTCTAGAACACCAGTAACACTGGGAAGAACGCAAGATATCTCCACTTATCTTGTTTCACCCTGAAATGTATAAACACCTTTTCTTTAGAGAAGTCAAAATTTCGACTGCAGATTCTAACTGAGCAGAGGTTATGAGCCATGCTGTCCCCTCAGAAAAAAAGCAGATGCCTAAGTGTTCCCCCATTTCTCGCTTTGAGAACACCTTAACAGCAGTAGCATTATTTCAAGTGTTCCCCCATTTCTTGCTTTGGGAACACTGTAACAGCTGTGGGATTAGGTACCCTTCCGAGTTTTTCAAGTGTTCCCCCATTTCTCGCTTTGGGAACACTGTAACAGCTGTGGGATTAGGTACCCTTCCGAGTTTTTCAAGTGTTCCCCCATTTCTCACTTTGGGAACACCCTAACAGCTGTGGGATTAGGTACCCTTCCGAGTTTTTCAAGTGTTCCCCCATTTCTCGCTTTGGGAACACCCTAACAGCAGTAGGATCAGATACTCTTCCGACGTTCCCCCATTTCTCGCTTTGGGAACATCCCCCAATCCCACATACTGATGTATATCACTGCTCATCGATGCTTCTGTGCAACAAGTTTCAAGGGACATCCAGAGATTAAAGTGGTTTGATTATCTGCACAATGGACCAATTCCACGATTACATTCTGACCTACTAGGAAATACAGTTTTGCTTCTTTTCATCGTCTTTTAAATAAGTTTCCACTACTAGCCAGAGATTCCAGGTGATGCTTTGTACAGTCTGGAATTAAGGTGAAGTGGAAGCAAACCTGACAGTACACACAGCTAAGCAGTTACCATATTAAAATGCCAACCTTACAGGAATGATCTCTTAGCTTTAAAAGGAGTGCTGAAAACTGACATTTCGCTTAATTTTCTAGTTAACCAGCAAGGACAACAGCATTTTTGGTTACTGACAGCAGGCGGTTCAGAAATGCACAGAACACACGTGCTTATGTCTTCTGCTCAAAGAGATCATGATACTCTTGTTCTTCTAGTTCTCTGTTGTACTTCTCTATTTCCCTGTTGGCTTCTTCCAAGTAATCGTTCATGAATTGGTCCATTACTGATTTTGAAAAACTAAGGAAAAACACTTGTGCAAATAGCATTCGTTAGAAAAGAACATACAGGTTTGAAGAACGTGCCAGTTCAGGGACACTTAACGAAAGCAGAAATTCAATATATTACCTTCCGGGAGTCCCGCAGTCAGACCCAACCACAAATGTATTACTGGGGAATAAAAGAGTTGCACAATAGACATTTCCCAGTCACGAGGAAGAATATAAGAACAGCAAAACTACAGCAGGTTTGCAGATGTTTACAGCTAGTCTGGTTAAGTGGAAGTCTAAAAAACTCTGCCCCAAATGCAAATCATCCAGAAGTGGTTAACCAGTGCCTGTTTATTGCCAAACACCAAGATGGTGGTGGAGTGAAGGTCTAGTCAATACTGAAGCCCAAGTTTGCTGTTAGGCTATTTTCTGCCAGTATACCGTAACTAGGAGCTTACCCTGCAGACAGAAGTCTGCTTGTTTAAAGTTTTGAAGTTGTCCCATAGGGCACAGAAAATAACTGTTCTTATTCCAAAACAGAATCACAGAACCCACTTGGATTTTTGTAAAGTTTGTCAAAGTTGAAGTGAAAAGTAAACTGGGAATATAAAACCAAATTTGAAATTTCTGTAATAAAACAAAGACAAAAGCAATAGAAAGTTATGGAAACAAGAAAGAAGAACAGGAATACACTGGAACATTAGTATTACTCTGGCATTTCTTGCCAAAGACAAAAATATGATCAGGTTTAAATTAAAAAATAAAAATAATTTCTGGAAAGAAAGCCAGAGGACCCTACTTCAGCTGTAGTTCATGTTCTCCAACTGACAGCAAAGACAGAAAGGACAGCACATTTATGAAAGTTTACGTCACGATTTGGTAAGTCACACTGCTTGCTAAGCTGAAGTAGTTTTAAAATAAGGTTTTACTTGTTTACATGAGTTTAAAAAGGCACTACAAAAAAATGCACTTCCACGCCTAATTCTGAACACCTTGTTCATATTACTACACTGCATCCAAAAAGGTTTTTCTAATGCCAAGTTACAAGATGAGAGCAATCATTTAACATCAGCTTCACTGCAAAGATATGGGGCAGAATAGAAGGATACTGTAGTAAAACCTAAACCAACCCTGATTGTTTTTACTCCAGTGTGTGCACGCACATGCATGCACACAAAATTATATTCATTTTGAAGTTTTATCAGTCGTGACCAGGCATTAAGCAATATTAAGCGCTATTTGGTTTGAAAAATATTTCTTTGACAAGCTGTGGTTCATAAATTATCCTCTGCGTGAGCTCATGTACAGTTTTGGGATTGTTTTGTTGGTTCTGTTCTGCTTCTTAGATCATATCTCTGAAAAAGTGTTTTAATAGTAAGCTTTAAATGGCAAGCAGCCATGCACAGATTTAAGGAACAAAACTTTTCACTTCATAAAACTACCTGCAAACCAAACTGGTTCTTCACCATATCATCTGCTTTGACAGTCTACGTTTCAGATTTGCATAGCCTGTTGCCTATGTAAAACCTTCCTAAAAAAAAAAATCACCACATTTTAAAGGATACATGGATGGTAATCCATTTTGTCACCAAAAAAATTCACAAATTGAGTCCCGTTGTAAAAATAACCAGCTGGAAGTGGATCCAAGTGGCGTTTCACCTGCATTAAGAAAGAATATACCGTACGTTAAACATGTAAAACTGAAAGCTGCTTAGAGACAGTCCTAACAAACTAAAATAGATTAAAAAAAAAAAATCCTTCTGCTGAACTTAGCAGCCAGGGAGGAAGGTATGGCTTCTGGCTATAAAGGAGCGCTCTGAAAAGATGGTATAACAAATGGCATCCATATAGACTAGGGGAGTTAGGTACAGCAACACCAGTCATAGCCATGCCAAACTCTTAGGAACCCAACTCCAGAGATAGCACTTACAACCTAAAGGTAGTTGATGATGGCAGAATTAGGCATTTGGGATCCTAATTTGCAAGTGACAACCTGCACAGGACAGAGCAGGGAGAAAAGATGAGGAAAGACCATTACAGTAACCAAAAGCGTTCGCTTCTCCAACATCTTACACCTCCCTCTACTTTTCAGAGGTAACCTGACACCCTGAGATAACACCAAGATTTATATCTCAAATCCTGGACAGCCTCAGTTGCATTTCGAGTATATAAAGACAGTTAAGTGCTGCCATAATTTAGTGTTAATAATAATTTAGCACACTTGTTATGGCAAGTATGGGAGGTGCTCTATCATGTAAAAGGATATTTAAGAAAATCAGCCAGCAGTATTTGCTATTAATTTATTTTACTTACGTGAATGTTCTTTATTTCCTGAAGGGTTAGCATTCCTCTGGTTTTCAGGGCTTTCCTCTGAGGTTTCTGTATGAAGAATTAGACCCCAGTTATATACCTACTGAGTGACAATGTGATATCACAGTTTAGTTACATTAAGAAAAAAAACCCCCAAAACACAGAAAAGGTCTTTCTTGAAAACATGGGTAAAAGCAGTGAAATCTCTGATCACATGCTATTATGCTCAAGCCCAGAACAGAAGTACTCCTTTTAGAAGTATGTATTTTAAAAATTAATTTCTAGACAGAATTATTCAATTATATTAAGGCATTCACAACTATGTTCTGAAAACAAAAGTAAAAATTAAGTGATCTTACATAAGGTATCCTTAGAGATAACAAATCCAAAAGGACTTTAAATAATATAATTTTAATACAGTTCTAATGCAAAAAAGACCCCAACTGTCACATGAACAGAAAAACAACCTAGTTTTTAGTCTGAAAAGTTTTATAATTTATTTCATGCAGCATGCAGTAACTCTCAAAACTGTCTGAAGCCCTAAATTAGCCATGACTAGCGAGACTGTACAAAGACTATTTGTAGTCTTGAACTGCTCAAAGAGGAAGCACGTCACACACGAGATAGCATTCCAGTTCCAAGTTTTCATAAAATTCCAAAGTATTCCATAGTGTGCTTTCTTATATATCAAAAGCATTTGCCTACATATACTACTCATGTGATCTATAAGGAGCATGAGATACCATCACAGAAAATGTATACTCCCCTGAAGTAATACAACCTGCTTAAACAGGGGTGAGAACCTGAAGATCCTTAGGAACTGCTCCAACAATGGTCTGCAGGAAATTTTTTTCCCTTCCCACATAACTTTTTAGAGATACTATGCAAATCCTAAGCCACAAAGAAGTAATCATGAGTATTTTTAATTAACAAATGTTCCAAAATGGGCATCATGAAAGGGCACAGTCAGAACTATAGGCTCAGGTGCTCAGGTTCCAACTAGAGTGCTATAATTTACAATTTGTGTGGTTGAACAGTTTCTGTCCAAGTATATTTCTGAATCAAGCCTCAAGACTTGCTTCCTAAGACCTTGATGTGCAGCCTGGCAAAAGTAATACCTGCTGGTATTAATTGGTTACGTAGCAGCGAACCATCTTGTCCTGCACTCCTGGTCAGGTCGTGCCAGTCACTGTGTGAAGTTAGCAAGACACCACAACTGCAAAATGCACCTTCTAGGCTTCTTACAATGTGCATAGTCCCTGTTCCCTGCTCCAACTTCTATTGCATAGGTACATTAGCCATGCAGAAATACGTGAAGTCTTACATAGCTGCACACTTGACAAATTCAGCAAGACAGAAATGAAAAAAGCTACACCCTCCATTTCAGTGGATTACTTCCAAGGAGGTTTTATTTAGTGAATCAAAACAAGTTTTCAGCTTTGCAGTATTCAGATACTTCAAGAAGATTTATTTCATACTACGCTTTAGCTTTTGGCAATCGTGTCTCAGCTAAATCATCTTGTGTTTATTCTGGACATAATCCATTTGCTCAAGCGTTCAAGAGCAGATCAATCCATGAATAAGCTGTAGCAGATATTAAAACAATACACAAATTACAAAACGCATTTGCAAACTGTTAGTCCTCTGTCTGAAATACATTTATATCCTGGAATACTAATACCTTGGTAGAAGAGAAAGGAGATTTTTTAACAAAAAAAAAAAAAAGGTTAATCGAGACACTCGGATTCCTCCTTTTGTTGTTAAGAAATGCCAAATAGATCACACTGAACAGAAGTAAACATGCCCACAAACCTGTTTTGCAGTCTCTCTGAGCCAGTCTTTTATATCCTCTTCCTTAAGGGAGCAGCCAATGAACACAAGGAAGCACTCCTGTTGACTGCTGCAATCTCGGTTATCGCTTCTTGAATCAGGAGGAGTTGGCCCCTCCTGAACAGGCACAAGACTTAGTGAATTAGACGATGTGTTGTGACAAACTTCAATCACTTTATCAGAATCTGACAAGGAGAAGACAGAAGAAAAAAAAATAATAATAAAAGTCCTGATAATCATTAATCTAATTTAACATCAACACATTGGTGCAGACAGAATACAGTACGTAAAAAAGTTTTCAAATAAACATACACGCAGTGCAAACACAAGACAAAGCATAAGCAGTAATTTGCCCTTACCTGAAAATTTAACTTTGCCCATGATGTGATAAATGTTTCCGGAAAAAGGACTTGGCTTGAGCAATGACTTAATCGCTGTTTGAAATAGAAGACAAATAGATTATCTCACTTATTTTTCTTCTCCTTGGTGTAGCTTCTGGTCAGACCTATGCTACAGGTCCCTCTAATCCACATCCTAGTGCTTCAGGGGAAAAAGCTGCAGTGTCCCCCGGAGCCCCACTACATAACACTTCTAGATGTTTTCATTTCTTTGCTATGGGATAGGTGGGAAATAACATGTGTTTGGCATAATGAACGCTTACAGTGTGTGTGGAAAGTAAAATGGTGCTCCTTAACACTGTTTTGCTAAGGAAAGAAGGAAAGGCATGATTATATATCTACTCTAAAGCCTAACACAGAGTTGAGCCTATTTTCTAATAACTACAAAGGACCATTTGGCATGAAAAGTAGAAGCTAATGGTCACTTATAAACTGTATTTTTACACTACTCAATAAAATTAAACATTAAATAAAAAGCAAACATATGAAGATAAGTGTGTCAATCTCTAGAAACAAAAAATTAAATTAATTTTCATCTGAACAAAATCATAGGTCAATTTTCCAGAACAGACACTAAAGACAACAATTTACTGTACTTTAAGGAAGGAAAGCTGAATTTTCAATTAAACGTTTACTTCAGCAGTAATCAAATAACTGTGCTACGTCAGTGCCTTCCTTCCCCTCTATTGCTCAGTATTTCAAACTTGGATTTAAATCAAGTCAGTCAAAGTTAATTTGTACCTTTACATTTGGTCACAAATCGTGTTTTTTCTAGAGGACGATTAAACCATACACAGATCTGAACCATTGGAGGGAAGACAGACCCAGCTCCATATTTGCCTTCATACCTTAAGACAAAAACAAGCACACCCCTTCAACATACAGAAAACACACACGCTTGTGCTTTTCATCTAACAAACTTCTTAACAGGAATATTATTTCATCACAGGGAAGCCTTGCTCACAGGAAGAAAAATACTAAGTTTTCTTCTCTAAGACATCCATGAAAACATGATATTAACAGTATAAGGTTGTTCAAAGCTCTCAGGACTCCTTTTCATGCTCTTCCTGCGGCAATTTTTTTTTTCTTACGTGTTATCTACATATTATTCTTGCATAGTTTCATTAAATTAGCAGCTGTACAAAAGTTTTAAATACTTTTTCCCTGCTTCTTCTCTCTCCCTTTGGCTCCATACAATCCACAAGCCGCTCTGACATCACAAGCTTTGCAACAGTTTACTTTAGGAGCCTTACTTGCATCCAATTTAGAGCAAGAATTATGACTGGAAAGATATACATACATACAGGACTGGCAAGGTATGGTAAATAAATTGTGCTTCCAGCACTATAACCTAACTAGAAAATAGTCAGCCCGAAATTGTAACGGCTGACAGGTTTACGTTTTCTGCCAAGTAGGTGCAGCACAGATAACTGCAACAAGATGTGTAAAGAACACTCAACCATGAAAAAAAATAAAATGACTCGGTATTAAATGGAAAGCTTGGTACATGTATTATTGTGCCCTTAGCCTCTGCCAAGACTGTCAGTAAGGTTGCTGGGGTTTATGAATAATTGTTCTGCTAATAGCTAGACTGACATAGCAAGTTCATTCCAGTAAGGCTGAAGAGCTGTCAGAATGAAATTACTCTAGTCATTATTGACCTCACCCATCCCGATCCTTCCCAGCTTATTCCCAGCGGGTTCTTTTCTATTCTTCTGAAAAGCAACAGTAATCTTGGCCATCGATTTAAATGGTGTCCAGAAAGCATCCTTTTCCCCATAAAAGGACAGCAATTGTGTATCTACTAAGAATACTCATCAGCACTCTTTTAAAAATGATTTACAAAGCTATTGCCTGTTCCAAATGAGTAGTCTTGAAAAAAATATAAATTAAGTTAGCAAGACTTTTTAATCTTCAAGTTAATTAGAAAAATAGTTTTAATACTTCTCAGTCTAGATACTTGCCAGCCAGGATACATTAAATATCGAGCTCTCAACATCTGAGGATTTGAAAAACTGCCTTCCGAGAGAATTAATTCAATATCCTCATTCCTATAAAGAGATAAAAAAGAAGATTTTTAATTTTATGAATTCAATGAAACGGCCACTATCTGTATGCTACTTACATAAAAAGGAATGTGTTAGTCACAGTAAAATTAAGAGTCTTTTTCCCTCAGTATGACAGGAACAGTAACATAAGCCATACTCTGCAAGCAAAAACATACATATCCTAATCGCTGTATTTATATGACCATAAATGTAAAGGGAAGATACCTTTTGCATGAGAAGCAATTAAGAAAAATCTGCATCTCCTTCGTATAAGTTACTAGAGTAAAACAAGAGACTATAAGTTTCTACATGCATGTGTCCCATCTGCCAGAAGTGACAAACACTGGACACCGATTAACATTACCTAGTTACAACTCCATTTTCTGCCAAGATGAACGAAACAGCAGGATTTGCCGCTCGGATAAGGCTCTGCAGTTGCACAAGGAGTGGATGCTTCTGCTCTTTAGCATGACTTGTGAAAACCACATTACTCACTAGTCCTGTGTAAGGAAATCAGAGGGTAGTTTACAGAAGTCAGTTGTTTATTAGTCACTGTTGCATACCTAAGTGATATAACAGACATTCTCTTATTTTCCTTCCATCTCACTACACTGAAGTTACTAAGGACAAAAAAAATAACAACCAAAAAAACCCCACCACACAAGCAAGGAACATTTTATCTCTTGCAAGCTCAGCAAAAACCCAGAAGCCCATCTAAATTCACACATGAACACTGTGGAATAACCAAATGCAGAATTATCATTAACTATTTATTTTGCAACTGCATCTAGAGGGCAGCCAGCTCAGAAGCCGATTCTGTCACAACCCATAGACACTCGGGAATGATACCTCCTGAGAGAGACACAACCCTTTTCCGTCACTAGAATGACTCACGGGGAAAGAGGCAGGATGTTGTGATCTGTGGGTTCTTATGATTCAGTGAAAACAATCTTACAAAAAAAAAAATTAAAAACATGAGCCTACCGATACAGTGCCAGTCACTGAAGACGACGTGACTAAGGAGGAAGACCTGCTTGCCAAAACACAGCTATACCAGGTCAAGACATTTTTCTTTCAATTAGTCCGTGTAACAGAAGCAGTTTAGATTCCATGAATCAAAAGAATCAATTACTTAAAAGAATAAATTCATACGAGAATCAGTTTGAGAAGGACTAGTTCAACAAAAAGCAATGATGTTTAAAGCCTCTTGGCAGATTCAATGTGTAGAAAGATAGCCTAAACAGCTAAAAATCAGTACTTTGGACTGTGACAGTTGCGACTTCCAAAAACAAAAGAAGGGCTTGGTTTTGGTTTTTTCCCTCCTGTTTTTAAAGATAGACCCCCAAAATGCTATTCAGAGAGCAAGCATGAACCCACAAGGCATCAAAAAAGATAACCAAGAAAAACAATAGGATAACTATTTGTCCTGAGCCCCAATTCCCAAAAACACTCAGCTGTGTCACCAGAAAATCAATTCCTTTCTCAAACTTAACAGTACCCCTTCACTTTGCACCTAGTGCGACCAATTTCACTGAAGCAACGATTACTCTTCCTCAGCAAAAACTCGCCAAGATTTGAAAGTGACAACACAGTCTTCATGTTATACCTGCTGTCTTGCCAGGTGTAAGACAAGTTTCACATTAAATGAGAACCAACTGCTGCTACTGCAGATGCCTCTACAGGCAATCAGAAATAACATACCAGCGATCACAGCCGTCAAGCCTTGGGCACTGGAAGGGATCTCATTAAGAAAAAAATGCAAGATGACATATCACACTTATCATCCAACTAATTTCAGTGTTATAGGATCCACGCTTTACAATTATATCAAGAAAGCATTACATCAGAATGAATTTCAGCCCAGTTCCTCAAAGAGACTGACTCCCTGGGATGAAAATGTTGTCCAGAAGGAGTAAGGAATGCTATTTCTTTGCTCAAGATGTGCAGCTCATTTCAGAGACTTTCCTGTGACTACAAGGAAGACAAAACAATAAACTCTTGACTATCCATGAATGATCGAACCAGGATGCATCTCCCCTGCCCCCAATTCATCGCTATTTAAAGCGGAATACGTAATGAAGCTCACACCATCTACTCCGCTCTGGGGAGACCCCCCTGCAGGGCTGTGTCCAGCTCTGGAGCCCTCGGCACAGGAGAGACACGGACCTGCTGGAGCGGGGCCAGAGGAGGCCCCAGCAACGCTCCGAGGGCTGGAACAGCTCTGCTGGGAGGACGGGCTGGGAGAGCTGGGGGGGCTCAGCCTGGAGCAGAGAAGGCTCCGGGGAGACCTTCCTGCAGCTGCCAGGGCTGAGGGGGGCTGGGGAGAGAGATGGGGACAGGCTTTTTAGCAGGGCCTGTTGTGATATGACAAAGGGTGATGGTTTTAAACTGAAAGATGGGAGATTCAGACTAGGTATAAGGAAAACATTTTTCCCAGTGAGGGTGGTTGAAACCCTGGCCCAGGTTGCCCAGAGAGGTGGTAGATGCCCCATCCCCGGAAACATCCCAGGTCAGGTTGGACGGGGCTTGGAGCAACCTGATGCAGTTGAAGATGTCCCTGCTCATTGTGGGGAGGTTGGACTAGATGGCCTTCAGAGGTCCCTTCCAACCCAAACTATTCTATGATTCTACAATCCGCTGCCTACAGTTATTCCTGATCTTTACAGAAGTCTTTAAAGTACACTAATCCTTCCAGAGGATTCTTTACACAGACATTTCTATACCAACTGTTTCTGGGCTACTTACATTATACCATATGCTCCCAGTCACTGTTACTTGCATCACTGACCCTTTCAAGCTAGGATTTTAATAAAATCCCAAGCAAATTTTCATCATTAGTATCTCTCTTTTTTTAATCTGCCACAGAAGTTTCCATTCCAATTTCAGAAATGTCTAAGTTTTCTCCTATACACAGTTGTACTTTAGAGAGATGGGGGGAGAACAGCAAGCACGCTTCGAAATTTAAATCACATGCATGCTTGAAATCAGTATGTAGATCACGCAATTAAGATGAGAAGAATGAATAAGCTAATCAACAGCCACCACATTGTGGGTGTGCTATGCGCAGTGGTTTGGGTTTTTTCCTTCATATCCCCAAACTTGATACTGATTTAAAAGTCAAGTTTAATTAAAAACATAGTTATACTTTCTGTGAAGTTGGCACAGAACAACAAAAAGGCTGTGTAACAAATGCTGTGAAGCATACACTACAGTTAGAAGCACTATGACTTGGAGAGAACAGGTAATTGTCAAGGACTAAGCTGGCAAAGCTTAAAGTGAAGAAAAAGATGCAAGAAATAAAATACCTAGCAACTCAGAAACCTATGCACCTTGTCTCATGCTCCTCACCCATACTCTTTCTCCATCAATCTCCACTTCAGTTGCTTGTCTAAGGGGAACAGCTTTCAGGCACTAGCTGTCATTCCTGCTTGTAAACTCCCACGCAACCTTGGAAGTAAGAGAAGACTGCTCAGAGCCTGGGGAACCCGCGAGCGTTGGCTCTGCACACACCTATGCATGTATCTTGTAGGTGCCAGTACCCCACAAAAATTGGCCCTGGGTTAACAGACAACAGTCCATGATACTGAACTGCCCGACAGGTAGTGTAATCCAGGAGAAAAATAGCTTTTTGAGAACTGGAAGATGCCTACATAGCTTTAGTAACAAATAATTTTGACCTTTTCTATTTAAATTGTCACTGCCATCTCTGTTTCTACTGCATTTTGAAGACCACCCAGTTTTATTTAATTCCTTATTTATACATTCATCTAAAGTGAAAAATCTTTGCAGGCTGGGGAATAGCATGCTTCATAGAAGCAGTAAAGAAACAGGAGGGATAGATTAAAAATACGTATGCTTTACAAAAATAATGGATCCTCTTTGCTCCCAAATGTACAATGGGCATATTTAACAATGGTGATGTCTTAATCTGTACAGCAACTTCATATGTAACACAAGATATGCCAGTGTGCCCTTAGACTCTAAAGTGTCATCTTACAGCAAGAAATAAAAAAAAAATAGGGCATATTTGGAAGGAGTGAGACAAAAGGAAATTACAGCACACAGATGGTGGTAAGCTTTTTTTGTTTTTGTTTTTTTAAAGTTTAAACAAGCATGCAAGGGAGAGACAAAACAAAACTGCCAACATTGGTCACTCTGCTCAAGTCTATCAGTTCTCCCTGATCTTCATCTGTTTCTGTTAGTCTTATAGCCTTCCAGGCAGAAAGTGTCATATCATATTGTCAAATGATGTCATGTTGATCGTATGCATAGGTACCCTTCCAGAAAGCCACACAATAGAAGGGACCTGGAAAGCAGCAGCAAAAGGCTAACCCTACTCACTCCCAAAATTTGCAAGTTATGTGGACAAGGTAATCACTCAAAAGCCTAATAATTCCTACTTGCCTATACCCATACTTGTCTTATACCTGCATTGCAAGAAAAAAAAAAGGTCTCAAAGTATTGCTGTTGTTGCACCAGAAGCAAATTCTCAATTATACAGAAGTAAATTCTCTACTATACATGTGATAAACTTTCCAGACAAGTGCAGAATTGTAAGTGTACCACATCTCAGTTCAAAGAATACTTTTCCTCCTAAAACTTTTTACACAAAAAATGCCCTTATTAATGGGAAACAATTTGTTTTAGATGAATAGACCTCCAGGCTATCTAATGTCACATTTTTCCATCGGAAAACTAGATGACAAAACCTTGCAACATGCGGAAGTAATTCACTGCCAGAAGAACATTCTTCTAACCTCTGGTGTTTTTCCTTTTTTTCAGTGTTTGGACCATAGGAAAATTAGCTATACTGATTCTAAGCATTTTCTAGTTCCTCCTTGAACAATGACAAATTCTCACCCCATCAGGTCTGTACAACTGCACTTAAAAAAAAAAAAGAAGATACGTCTGAGTATTTTTTTTTTTAATTCTGTCATAAAACAAAAAGGCATGCTTGCACTCAGTAGTTACTGATACTTTCTTATATTATTATTTCTTAATATTCTCCTGCTCTCTTCAATTTCACCCATGGCTATACCCATGGTAGTTATATATTTGGGCAGTTCCCCAATTTTTACCACCAATATTTTTCTCCAAATAAGAATAAAATACTGATTTATATTACAGCACCTACATTATTTTCCAGCTTGCTGACGACTTCATTCTTTTGCACTCCCTTCACACATGAATAGGAGGTGGCATAATTCTGGCAGCAAAACAGAGCAGTACAAGAGTCTAAACAGCCACAAGAAAAGTGCAGCATCCTACTCTGACAACTGCATTTAAATGCAAACACAAAAATTACAGTTCTGCACTTCACTTGAAGACATGAGTTCAGAAAGTCATGCTGCAGTAACTGTGGTCTGACAGCGACTTAAAAAAAAATCTCAACTGCCACTGGTCTATCCAATTTCAGTCTGAGCTTATAGTCTGCCTAAAATATAGATTATCTGACTGGATAGAGATCTGTTCTTATATATATATATAACACACCACATGTGCTGGTCTTAATGTTGTGAATCGGCTACATAACTGTTAAAAACAACTGTAAAGGTGCTAGAGTCAAACTTGCTTCTGCTCTTGAAACCTGAAGAACCTATTTGATGATAGGTCAGGAAAGATGTTATCCCACTTAGGCCAACAGCTGCTCTAAGTTCCAAGTCTGACAAGGAAGATGATGCAGTCAATGATTAATTTCAGAGTCAGGGTATAAAACTAAATATATGGGTAAGAAACAGTTCTTCTCCAAGTGAGATTTTTTTTTGTCTGCTGCAGTGTCGAAGGAACCCTGCAAGGATCCAATCCATTTTGTTGTTACAACAGTTTAAGATAAGCAGTTTAATTCATGGTCTTAGGAAACCCATCCTCCAGCTGAGGACAACCAGAATGCATCATGCTCCAGAGTCTTAAGTCTCCTCCAGGTGCCTACAGTGCTTAATAACGTAGGCAGATTGTCTGTTCTGCACAGATGGTTCTTACCTCCAAGAGTTTTTCATGATCCTTTGACTGGATACATTTACAGTGTATTTATTTGGCCATATGTCTCAGCTACTTGTTCTATATAGCTCAAAGTCAAGAAAAGTGACACATACCTTGTGAACACTGGTCCAAGAACTTGGGAAAAAGAAGCCTAAAAAAAAATCCCAGAAGTTTGTATATCAAGAACAGATATTATAATTTAAGAAAACCATTTACATTCAACAGCTAGAGTCTTACTATCCAACCCATTTTCATGTTTCCTTTCCTCAATCCATGTAACTGGAACATCCCTACAGGTTGTGTCTTTCAGTTCTCCCCCAAAAATTAGTTTTGTAGATGGTTTTAATTCTTTAATTGATTTAAGAGCTAATTCTCACTATGTAATCTATTCTGTGTTCAAGGAAACCATAACAGCTCCAATACTACTTTAATTCCTATTTAAACAATAGGAATTTTAAGCATGCCCTAAAGAATTGCACCTTCCAAACCTGGTGGGAACCCTTCATGGAAGGGCTGTATGTACGTAATGATTTCTGTACATATCGTACTGATTCCTGGCATTGTGTCAGACAAGCAACAATTATTTTTATGAGCTTTATCATGCACAGAAAAGCTCCAGAGATAGTACTTTATCTGTTCCCCTTCAACTACCTCCCCCCTGCCCTGGCTTGTTATTCAACAGAGAGAAGAGCTTCACCCTAGGCTCGTGAGAGATCTAGATCTCTGCAGTAATGAACTTTCTGAGACAAGAAGTGGTTTTGATTTTCTTGACTGCAAAAGTTTCAACTCAGACATTAAAATCACTCTTCTCGATTCTCACAGGGAGATCACCAAAGCTTCCCAACTGAAAGACTGGTCTTTGACAGTACATGGCTACTTGGTAAGTTCTTATCAGAAGAGGCTACTTCGTAAGTTCTTATCAGAAGAAACTTCAAAGCGAGACACAAATAGTCTACAGCATAGGCTAAGCCTCTTCCTTCAATTGCTTCTGCACTTCAGGAGACAAACAATGTTAGTCAAAGGACTGCAGGCTACTGCTGCTATAAATACTACTCGGTACCATGACCAGTAACACGTTAGTAAGTTAAAAAACAGAACAAAACAAAAACCCCAAAACTAGGAACGGAACTTGTTCTTTCCGTAATATTTTCCATTATAGGAAAGACAAGCTGAAAAGGCACTCCAGCATCAATTCAACAATATTTTATGTAGTCTTTATTATTTATTTACAACCTTTGTCACAGAGACAAAAAGATGCAGTAAGGTAATGTCTATTTATTGACTAGTGCAAAACACAAGAAGCGTATTGGTTAGTGTTTTAAAAAGAGCTAGGAAGTTTAAGGAATGCGTTTTTATAAAATGATTGGGCAGTTCACCTCTAAGCTGTGATGCACAGAGTTTTTTCACAAATAGTAGCAACGCTAAGAAATCTAAAAATTGTAACCCTTTTAACTTACTTTTATGAAACCAGCTGCAAGGTATAATTGCAAAATTTAAGTATCATAATTTTACAGACATGTCTATGAAATTAGTTCCATGGTTGCTGAAGTGCAGAGCACATACACATACAATGAAACAGCAGCCATAGCACACTATCTTAAAATGTCAGCGACTTGGCTGTGCTACTGTTTCCTCCCCACCCTGCCTCTGCAGTAACCCAGGATATCAGATTTTAATACTTGCAATGCTTTTGCTTCCGTGCTTTGTCATTCTCTTCAACAAAATTTGGGACTGCTTCCCATAAGTTCCATATTTTAAATCTGCAAAGTCTTCATGTAATATCCAAAAATAGTGACACAATCAATAACCCAAACTAAGATGCACGTCTCAATTTTTAATCACACTCACAAAAGATTGTAAGAAAAAGAATGATTTAAAAAGCACACACGACAGGACAGTTGACTGTCCAGATTTTACAAAGTCCTTAGCCAGAGTATATGTATTTAAGCATTATGCTAACTACAATGTTTGTTTATTCTTCCATAAGCTAAAGTTTCGTTAATATTATATATAATTATATACCTAGTGGAAACCAAGTGTCATCCTTACAAACCACACAGCACTTCAAAGTTCATCCCAGACGATTACCTAGTAGTTTTATGAGATTTAAGACAGTTCAATGGCATTTACCATCACATCTCTCTAATTATTATAAAAGTGATCTCAAACTCACATATCTATTTTCAAACTAGTAGTTAGTTTGAAAATAAGCAGTAAATAATGTTTATATTTAATAGTATACAGTATTATTATATATAAATATGAAGTATTGCATAATAATATAAAACAATACAATATAAAATAGTAATAGCAAAAATATTTTAAAGTATACCTATGTTCCATATAGCAACTCAGCGGCTCTACACAAGTATTAACTGCTCCAATGATGAAAGAAGACTTCACATCTGGGTCAGGATGAGTTTGCAGAGCCTGTACAACATCAATAACATCAGTATATCTGTAAGAAAACAAAACGAAATATGGTTTCAGTGTAATGGAACGACACATTACAACATCAAGTAAGAAATCAATTGTGTGCAAGAAGGTTAGATTTCTAAAAAAGCCTACTGAAGGAGTTATAAAGCAGTTCAAAACTTGGCAAATCCAAACAAGTGATGCAGACGGCACGCAACATTAGAAATAAATGATTGACAACTTGGGAGAAAAGCAGTTTAAACTTTGCGCTGAACAACTGAACAGTCCAGCCTCCCAGAAGCACAAAAGGCACAATGTAAATACAAGCACGTTATGCCTACTGCAAAGCGTGTTACGTACAGTTCAAGTAAAAAAAGATATTAAAAAGCAAACCCCCTCCCTTCTCAAACATTCAAATTTAAATGTGTTTCTACAATTAACGCATCCATTATTTATCAGTACTCCAGACACTGCTGTATTTTACTTCTGTATGATAGCAAAGTTTAGGCGAGTCTGAGGTTTTATTCCAGATGTTTGTATCTCAGCCAGATACAACCTTCTCTGAAAACTGTACTGTCAGTTATTGGATTACTTAGAGAACTCCAACTACTTTAAAACTGTTTATACCAACACTCAACTACTCAGAAAAGAATGGAAAACCTGTAACTAACCATCCCTGAAGCCAATACTGCTATCAGGATGTCAGTTACTTTGTACATCACTGGACTTTATCCCACTCCTACTAACTTTAAGGGGGAAAAAAAAAATATCTCACTCTAACATGGGAAAAAAACATGCTTTTCTGCATTATCAGAATGGACAATAATTGACATTGTTGTAAGTGGACTTATAATGGACAATGTTATAAGCTCCATATATATGCCCTTAGTGAAAAAGATGAACACTGGGTAGCCTGAGAACCAACACCATTCCTGCCAGATTACGGTCGTACTTCCCTCAAACTCGTTTACGTTACCTGTTAATGACTCAGAAACAAGAGTGGGCAAACGTGGAGACACTACCAGCTCAAGTGCTACACGTGAGATGGAACCGTCAAACAGGGATGGCTTAGAGTCTTCACTTTTATACCACAAAACCCCCTGGCATTCATCCAAAACACGTTCATCAGTCTTACTTCACTTTCTCCTGCTGTATCAAGTGAATAGCATATTTTTGACAGCTTGCTTTCTGCTAGTAGTTTAAGAGGTCATAATCCTTACAAAGCTGTTCCTTCTGAAGTACAGAGACTCAAAACATACCATGTAAGAAGTGCTGTGCAAAAATTGCACAGAGATTTATTTGGATAACAACTCGCACACCTGCCTCTCTTCGTATCTTTTATCAACTGGAAATTTGAAAGTTTGCGTCACTTTTCACAGAATCACTAAGGTTGGAAAGGACCTTCAAGATCATCAAGTCCAACGATTAATCCAGCGCCACCGTGTCCCCTAAACCATGTCTTGAAGTGCAGTTAATAGCGCCAAAGAAGCAAAGCAAGGACTACCAAAAATGCAAAGACAAAGCAAGCGTCTAGGCACACAAAGACGCTAAACACTTGGAAAAAAGCAAAGATTGATTCTTATGCTTACTGTAGCACACTCATTCTCTGTTTAAAAAATTCAGAGTCACGGTAGCTTAGGATTTTAAGTTTCTATTTGGAGGAAAAAGTATTGCAAACTGAATGGATCATTTAATACTGGAAAGTATGAATTCATTTGTTAAAGATTCTCTAGCACTCATTGATCTTTTAGAAGTTTAAAGGTACTGTAAGCACTTGAGAGAGATAATTACAGTCTTTATGTCACACCATATTACACTTCCTAAAATTAATTTCTATTCTGAAGCACCTGAAATTAAAATTTGCCAAAATGCGCTCAGTCACCTAATGCCTTTAAGACAATAGATCTTCCTCTGAAAGAAATAGGGAGGTGTTCCACCCCCACTTTTCATCAAAACAATTTCAAAATTTTACCAAACTTGCAGAGAAAATTATACGTGAAAGGCATGGCGAGAACTCTGCTAACATGCTTTTCTGCATTCTGTAAAAAGTTGTGCATTTATCCCATGGTTTTTTTTGTTTTGGTATCAGCAAAATACAGGTCTGTTGGGAAAAAGTAGCACCAATTCACTTGTGTACTAACAGGGACTACAACACACAGCACTCCCTCTAAATATTAAGCTAACGCTATAGCAGGTAATATTCAGTAACATTCAGCTGCAGCTCTGGAGTGCAACTTACAGCACAATCTCAAGCTGTCTCTTCTCTATTGCCCCCATCTAGATCTATGATTTTCAAGACAGACAACCAGTACTCTTATTTTGCCACTGGAAATGCAAGCCTGAAGGAAATAGGAGAATATGTGCATGAAGAAGTCCCATCAGCCTTTGAAGGATGAGTGCCCCTCTATTGAGGGCCTCCAAGGGAGGTGGCGGGGGGAACCAAACTAATCCCAACACAAAACCAAACAGCTGCACCAATAAATAAAGTGTCACTTAACAACAGTCTAAGACGCAGCTGGAAAGGGCAAGAAAACTTTGTTTGAGAAGCCAAAAATCACAGTCAATGTCTTAAATAGGGAAGATGAGCCAAATGCAGTCCATCCTTCCTTTTGATTAAGGAAGGCTTTGGACACCATTGTTTCAATGGAGTAACAAGCAATAAAAGTAACAGGTTGAAGAAAAGCTGAGTCTGGTACATACATAAACCAGAATTAACACTTGAGCACAGAAATATGACTGATTACCCATCCCAAAGTGATGGGAAAGTTTAAAAATGCCTTGGAAATAGGAAGCGAACAGAAAATCTCTTATTCTATGCAACAGTTCAAACTGTTTCAAACATTTACCCTTGCAAGACCACTAAGAGACGCTTGTTCTTTTTAGCATAAGTGGACAGACGGACGCTGTGGTTTTGCTGAGCCTCCAGGACACTGGAGAGGTAACGCTGGAAATGGGCTGCACTGAAACATTCCGGACTATCCATAGTCTGCCGATAAACTATCCACCTAAACGACAGAAAACAAGGACAGAAGTTAGTATTCTATGACATATTTCTGTTTTCTTTTTATTTTGAACCAATGACAAAAGAATAAATTTGACAAGCCTTAAGATTCCACATCTCTCATACCACATGGGAAAGAGGAATTTACTTGGCTTTCTATCATCTCCAGCATAAGCACATTCTTAACATTACTGCCAAAAGGTTTTGTGGTTTTTTGTTTTGTTTTTTAATGAAACAATGTTCACCAGCTTCTTCAAAGCAGCACATCATGGGAGTAGTTTTGATCTTTGTTAGTGATGCAGTAAACAAAAATTGTATGAAACCAATTCAAAGACTCTGGGCATGAAAATATTTCACTGCAAAAATTAAAAGTAACTATGACATTTGCAGGAAAACGTGATGAAATGTTTTACTACCGAACATTCAGAACTCACCTTACATGTCTGCCCTAAAAACAGTCACAAAACTGTTCTGAATCAACTTGCTAATATCAAGAAACCAAGTCAAAAGTAATACAAAAATAGTCCAGAACATTACTAAGATTAAATGCTAAGGTGTTTGTGCTGTAAGATTTAAAAGGATACTAATTCCTTTTTCTTTATTTTCCAGAAGCTAAATGAACACACAGAATGGTAAATTCCTACCGTAGATTTATCTTATTGCCATACAACAGAAGTCCTGAATATATCTCCTGCTATTGCAGAACAGAAACCAGGTCAGATTAAAAACAATGCTGTAGCAAGGACTGTTAGTACAGTCTTCTCCCCCAGAAAAATGCATTTTCAACTCACTATCACAAGTCAATAAATGGAAGCTCTTCACCCATTTCCTCCAAGTTCTGACAAGAAGACTTCCATATTTGCTTAAGGCAGGATTCATTTGGCCCTTCTAAGATTATTCTTAACTGTTTGTAGAAGCAGTGATAGTTCCAGACACGCATCATAGATCTACAGTGATACCTGTGGTATTCTTCACACGGAATAGCAAAGAAATCTCCTGTGATAGTTTTCTTGTCTCAGTATCTAAAATCCAAGGACAAATCTACCTGGCATAACACAGTTAAATGAGATACTTGAAGTAACATAAATTAAATAATATACCCAACAGTCTGCTGTGCAGAACTACTTCAAGTTCCTCATAATATTTACTGAATTTATTCTTATAAACACATCTTATAACATGTATGTTTACTAAAAAAAAAAAAAAAAAA